AGGTGCCTGAAGAGTTTTTTAATTCCGCTCCCCTCGTCCCCCCCCGAAGCCAGAAAGCGCCGTAACACCCCTCCACAACCTGCGACTTTGCCGTTAAGGTTTATTTTAGCGATTTCAAGAGCACTAAAGTAATGAGCCCCTGCTCCTGTCCGGTGAACCCGGGGCCCTGCAGGGACCTCCCCGGGCTGCGGGACCCGCCCGGCCCCGGGGCTCGCCCCTGGCCGCAGTTCAGCGGTCAGTTGATTTGATTTGCCTGTCCCCACAACCCCTGCTTATTTTGCGACACCTTCAACCCGCGTTTTTTGTGATTTTTTTTTTTTATTCCTCCCCCCTGAGAGTACTATTTTTCTGTTCGAAGCATTACAAACAGTCAAGGGGAAAAAACAGCCGGCATTTCCTCCTCCAAAGCAGGGCCGGGGCTGTTTAGTGTCTCTCTCCCACCAACTGGATTGTGCGGGCGTTGTATCGCTTCAGAATATCTCTTGGAAACCTCAAGCGCAGACTTCCCTTTTAGCGCGCTTCACACAGCACTGAACTCTGGTTTTCTAGTTCCTGCGATCGGATATTGCAGAATACTAAAAACGAAACCTCCGTTCCCTCGCTTAAAAAAAAAAAAAAATCAGCACATATTTGGTTGATGGTTTCCTCCCGGCCTGTTTATTTAATCTGACTGTATGATAGATGGCATCAGATAGGGACTTTGTACGCATTAAGCCTATTGTAGATTTTTTTTTAATATATCAACAAACTCTGCGGGGAAAAGCTGGATAAATACAGTGCCGCCCCTTTAAATGAGTGAGGATGTTTTTGAGATGTATTACTATATTAGGTGACATGGAACTTTGCATCTCTCATACCATCACTGCAATGTTGGCCAATAGAAAGCTAAAGTCACCCAAAAACTGCCTAGTCCCTCCTTCCTTTCCCTTATGGTCTGGTCCTACCTGCCTCCAGTGCACAAGTCAAGGCTACTCGCGGGAATGCTATGTGCCCCCTCCGAGAGCCCACGCTCCACCACTGCTCCAGGTTGGCTGCTCCTCACCTCCTTTTCCATGACCCTGGGCTCCGGCCGCTGCCCCGCTTTCCTCCGCAATGTTTCCTAGCCCTGTGACGACGACGCCCTTCTCGGTCAAGGATATTTTGAACCTGGAACAGCACCAGAACGGCCTGGCCTCCATGGAACTCTCCTCGCTGTCCTCCCCCTCCTGCATGCTGGCCACCTTCAAGCAGGAGACGTACAGCGCTGAGCCCCCGGCCCTGCCCGACCTGCGGGAGGAGCTGCCCGACCCGCAC